TATTTTTTCTTTTTTTTTGGGAAGGGAAGACATCACTCGCTGTGGAGTAATCGAATCAAGAAGAACCGTTTGAAACTGCTTGGTATGTAGCCGCAATGTAGCCATGAGCATCCACATGATGTTCACCATCCATGTGTCTCTTTTCAGGTTCCGAAGTCCAACAGTTCTAGAAGACTCACTGGACTTGTCAAGGCGAGTTGATTCTATTTCTTCGGCTCCTTCCAGGTTCGCAGCGTCTGACAGACCTGGGCAGGTCCTGCTGTACCAGGGTGGGGTGGCATATTTTTTTTCAGCCCACGATTTCGATGGCGTTCGGTGGTGGGACCAGGTGAGCATTCCGAAAAGGTTCCGAAAAGGAAGGAGGTGGTTGGACCGTGTTGTTCTTCCACACCCGGAAGGCAACCCAAAAACCCACGTCCAGGAAGTGGTTCGAAACAGGTGCAGTTCTTGTTTCACCGGCCGATTCCTCCGGGGTCCAACCGGTTTGTCACCGGTCACACGCTGTCGCCACGCCGAAGACGTCTGACCGGAGCAGCGCGTCGATGCCCAAGGTTCATCCGGGGACATTTGCACATCCACTCCTTCGACAGTGAAGACGCTGCGCTCAAGCAGCTTGGCACGAGAAGAGGCTTGCTGCCTAGCGCATCTGAGCGCCAGTTTTGACTCAAGCATGTTCCAGAGAATACCTTTCAGATCCTAAAGGAGCGACTTCACTCTGTTCGATACCCAGATGTTCAGATCAGGTCAGCTTTCTGGTCGTTTCGGATCTGTCTTGGCGTTTCGGATCGTATTCGGTAGGTCCCAGACGCTTCCGTCGACCCTCACCTTTTTCACGAAGGGGGGCTATACGTATTGTTGGTTCGAAGCGAACGTGGTGGGAGAGGTCGATGATGAGAGCACGCAGCAATATTTTTTGGACTTTTGAGTTATATACAGTTATATAGTAGCGACTCCCTACCAAAGACTGCATTGGAGGATCCTGGTGTGGATTTCGAGTGCTGGGATTGGGAAGCTGCTGTTGATGAAATCGATGCCGCCTTCGGCAAACTGCAACTGCAGGACAAAAGATGATTCCTCGCTATTCCAGAATAGGAACTCAAGTGTTTGGGAGTTCGAAGATCCCTGGTCGCACCATGTGCACGGTCAGTCGTTCTGGTTGCAACCCTGGCAAACGACCGTGCTGCAACGACGAGTGGACCAACGAGATTTGCTTCCGGTCTCGTTGACCTGCCGTCGTCCATGGAGTCCCCAGGAGCCCTCAGGAGCCCAGGGCGTGACCAAGCTTTCTCCCGTGGTTCGTTCACTGCGGAGAGGCTGGCGGAGCGTTTCCCCGAGATTTGCCGCTTTATCGATGCTGCGGTCAACGACCATGGCGTGGTCTATGTGCACTGTGGGGCAGGCGGGCAGGTGCAGCAGTGCGGCTTGAGGAGTGGGGCGAAGGTGTGTTTCTTTGGTTAAAGTGTTCCAAATAGATCTAAATAACTGATAGCTGCCATGTGGGGGTGGCCTACGGTTTTTTGGGAGCAAAGAACCACCTTTAAATTGCCATAGCCACCGCAGCTTTCACTAAACCACACAACTCTTTCAGAGTATGCTCCCTATAGACAGCTCTTCAGCTTTTGGAGTTGGATGGAGTCCGTATGTTTTCCTTCTACAGGGACTTCTTTCCTCGTTCCTGTACCAGGAGACCCGTACGGGGGGGGAGACCCCGGTGGCTACCGGGGTGTCTATTAACCACCCCTTAGGATCCAAACAACACCCCTTGGGTCTTCTGGTTCAAACGACATCGCCTCGAGTGGATCGCAGGGATCTCTCGCGCACCGACGGCCACCGCCAGCTGCTGGGATGCAGAGGTGATCCACAAGGGATGGCTCTAAGTAGTGGGATGGACATCTATTCACAAGCTAGTTTGGTCTTCATCCGGCATATGGGTTTCAACCATTTTCAACCTACATAGTGCCATATGTAAGACTACTCCGCAGGTTTTTTTTCCCTATCAAGGAGAAGGAGTCAGTGTTTTTTGTTTTTCATACCGGGTGTTGACCATAGCTCACTTGCGACAAAACTTGCATTCATCCGCACATTTCCATTCAAGTCTCCCATTGGATTTGGTGCGGGGGATCAGGAACAGGAGGAGGACGGAGGAATTCCTCCCAAGTTACTCGAGTTGCAACACCTAATTCTGGAGGTTTTCTCCAAGATTGTGTTAGGCAGTGAACAAAACACCTCCCTGGAACAAGTTGTTAACAACCATCCTCCCCCCATCACTCTGGAGGATTCCTCCCATAAAAAAGCCCCTCCCGGCGAAAACCTGCTTCGCCAGATGGAGATTCCCCCGCCAAACTTCAGTCAAACCACTAGCCCTCTTTCGCTCCATGTTCCATGCTCTGCACTTAGCTAGTCCATGCAACACCTGGGTCCAGGTTTCCACCTCCACCGGAGTCACTGCCAATGGGGTGCGAGAACCTCCCCCCTATTCCCCCACCACCCGTCCCGCCCCTTTTTCACGCCAAGCTGTAGGCTACATCATGTGGAAGCTGGGCCTCTCTGCTCCAGTGGCCCTGCGCCTCATCCGCGCCGCGCGGCCCTGCGTGCGGCCCAACCTGGGCTTTGCCAGGCGAAAAAGCGGCGCGTTTGGGCCGGTTGGATGGGGGGTGTGAAGTGGAACGGGAGAGATCGCCCTGCAGCAAAGAAGCTGTCTCGGCGACAAGTGCCCAAGAGTGCACCTTTTTTGAGAGGTTGCTTTGTTCTTCCCAAGCTGCAGTTGTCTGATCAAGAACTTAATTCCAGTGAAGGTGCTTTATATATTGCAGAATGTGACATTCTTTGGTGCACCAAGCTGCCATCCTCTTGTCGACTTTTCCGAATCCGCCAGGGAGCTTCGAAAGTGGGTGCCCCGACCTGGGAGTTGAAGGCGGTTCGGGGTGCCCGGCCGGGACCTTCCGTTGCTTCGGTGCGGTGGTTGATCCGAAGGAGGAACTCGGTGGTTCAGGAGGACGCCTTGGACTCTGGCGATGGACTCATCGGTTTTGGGAATCCGGATGACAGGGGGTTTGGAGTTTGGAGGGTCCAAGGGTCCGGGGTCACCTGCAGATGTCATGGAGATGTGATCGTTCTTCTTGGCCATCGAAGTGATTCACCATCACGGGAGGCCACCGCAGCAGATGTTGACAGGGTCAGGTGCCCAAATTCCATTCGGGGATGTTTTCCGGAGTCCTACAAACACGGGAAATTGCCAGAGTCCACCAAAAGGGCATGTATTAAAATTGGGAGACCTCCCTGTTCGACTCCCTGGCAAATCGAAGAAAAGTCGACCCAGAAAAAGGGCCACGAGATCTTTCTATAGCTGTAGGTGGTGTTTCTCAGGTTCCAAAAAATGACGTTTCTCCGAGGAGAAGACGATGGAAGAGCTGGACGGTTATGCCTCGGGCGCCCTTTGGACGTGAGCGCCGCAGCATCGAAGATGCCGCACGCGATGGCCACGAGGGTATTCCCGGGCGACGTGCCACAGGAATAGACCTAGGATCTGATGGAGATGCTGTGATGGACCAATGAGTTGATGACCTAGAGGCACAAACCACTGTGAGCTGCATGGAGTGGTGAGGTGAATGGAACAACAGAAGTTGCCGCCTGTGGGGCGACAACTAGGCATTCCAGTCGGCTTTCTTCTTTGGAATAGCTTCAAGAATAATAGAGTGGGCACCGGGCAACCTCTCTGGGAATCTTCTCTGCGAGCCTGCAAGCTGGGACCAATCGCAGCATGAAGCCATCGGCTTTTGCAAAGTTCTTGCTGTCAGAATTTGGTTGCGAAAGGTGGAATGGATCTTGAGACCCACAAACATGAATGTGGATGGCCTGCCGCAACTGGAGGGTATCCTCATGGTGAGACCTGGGCCGCACCGATCGGATACCCTGGCCGGGCCGTTTCTGCTTCGCAGGGTTTCCGACCTCTCGAGGTCGTTGGGGTGGGTGGAGCCACCGGCCGACCGACCGCTTCGCGCCCAAAGTGTGGCGACGACGTGACGTCGCGGCGCGCGTTAGTTCGCATGCTGAATTCAGGTCTCCAAGAGATGAGACCTGTGAATCGAAGGAACCATTTGAAGCATCAAATTCTTCGAGCGCCCAAGGGAGGGGGGGAGAAGTTTTTCTTGGTGGGGTTGAAAGCTGAAACGAGAAATCTGAACCCTTGGATCAACCTCCTATGATATATTTCCCAGCACGGATAATGGTTCTTGAAGGAGCATAGATAACATGTAACTATTCTCAGTAGATGCCGTGACTAGTCAACACTGCATGCAGTGTTGCTATGTGGCCATGAGTCCAAACGTTTTGGTATGGAACATGTACTCTTGAACATCTCGTTCCATACCCCGTTCCATACCTGTGGAACAGCATGTTTGTTCGCCGTTCCATACCCATCGTTCCATACCTATGGACTCCTAGTTTACAATTGTTCGAGGTTCAATCAAAACGTGCGCTTTGCTTGCTGAAATACATTTACCGTGAGAAACGGGACTGAGATGACACGTCAGGTTTTTTGGTACAATTTGTTCCATACCCCGTTCCATACCTGTTCCATACCTTATGGAACAAGGGATCCGTTCCATACCCTATGGAACAGGAAGGTGCGCGATGTTCACCTGAGACCCGGGGTTTTGACGCACACCCATGTGTTGCTTTGGTTTTGTTGCCGCGTGGCGTGGCGCGTTTCGTCTCGTACACTCATTTGCCAGTCGATGAGTCCATCCAATAGATATCATGCGGTGGCATCTCGGCATGCGACATGGTCCTTTTGTTTGAGGGGACCCGGGACCAGGGCACTCATTTAGCCATGCGTGCTGACGGTCGGGACACTAGTTGGGCCATTCTCGAGGAGAAGTGCCGGAATACCATCCATTCTCTTCTTCCCGACATAACAAAGGGACTGATCTGAATCATGTGGAAGCCAGCAACCACCTCCCTTCTACCCGCTATGGAGCGGTCTTGCGCAGCTTTTCGAGGCTTCCCCTGGGGTGAGCTCACACAGCAAGGTGCTGATGAGATGATGCGTCAGGTGGGGATGGCGGGAAGAGCCCTGACGGTCGCGTCTTTGTTTAAGAAAAATGGGTGAGAGAGGTGAAGCAAGACGCTTGTTGAATGTCTTGCTTCAGTTGATTCTCGTCACATCCAAATCATCATTAATATTCTGGTCATCCTTGATGTATTATACGCTATGAACCCGCACGAGTTCCAAATATCCAAGTTGCCATTCGCGAGAGAGACCATCGTGTGGTCTTCGCTCTGAAGCGAAGTTTTTCGCGTGACCTTCCCCCGAGATCGGGCGGAACTCCCTCTGACGTGCACGTGAACGAAGCCACGCCAATTTTGACGATGGAGCAAGACCACTGCTTCGATCCGTGACGTGGAGGGAGCGAGAAGACCCGGTGGAAGACCCTTGCAGCTTAGCTCAGTCTTCCCGGAGGTGTCGGGAACGGACCGTCCCGTCCCGAAAGCGCCTCGACGTCGGTCGCGTGGCACGGCGGGGGTGAGAAATTCGGTGGCGCACCGCTGCAGCGTTCGGTCGCACACATACGAAGAATGACACTTTCGACCACTGGGTTAGAGTAGATGGACTCCAAAAGCTTTCAACAACGGAGATGTCCTACATCTCCCTGTCTCTCCAAGTCTTTCGGCCGAAAAAACAAATTATCCCGGCAAGAGACCCCAAACAGTGTGTGTGAGGTCTGTAAATAGAAAGTCTAGAGATCTAGACGCATTGGGGTCCAGAGAGGTGATGGTGGTGATGAAGTGAAGGTGGGTGTGAGTGAGTGTGGATGAGAGGGAGTGTGAGTGTGAGTGAGAGTGGGAGAGTGAGAGTGGGAGAGTGAGAGAGTGAGCATCTGAGAGCACAAAGTATTGGGCCTGCCACGAAATCTGCACTTCGAGGTTCACCATGCGCTGTGCCTGCCACGAAGTCTGCACTTCGAGGTTCACCATGCGCTGTGCCTGCCACGAAATCTGCACTTCGAGGTTCACCAAGTGCTGCGCCTCCCAAGAAATCTCGACTTCGAGGTTCACCAAGTGCTGCACGTGCCACGAAATCTGCACTTCGAGGCTCCGAGGTTCACAAGGTGCTGTGCCTGCCACGAAATCTGCGCGTCGAGGGTCACAGAGTGCTGTACCCGCCACGAAATCTGCAAATGAGCCACGTGTCCAAAAGTCACGATTCACTGCACCTGTCACGAAATCTGAGCTCCTCGACGATCACCACCATGTCCAAAGCGCTGTGCCTGCCACGAAAACTGCATTTCGAGGTAAAACACCTCCGATCCCTTGCGCCTGTCACGAAAAGTCGACTTTGGAGCACCAAAACACGAGGTTTCCCTTGCGCCTGCCACGAAAAGTGGCCACCATGTGCGAAAATGCGCGCGGGCGGCGCCACAACGAGACTAGAAACACCCGCCGGGGGCCCCCAGATTCTGCGAGCCTGCGCAGTCGCAATGCACATTGATGATGTTGAGAGGCATGAATGTACTGTAAATAGCAATGAATTAGCCGTTCACGCCCGCGCGCTTCAGCGATCTAAGCATCTGCTGCTTTTCACTTACCGTGAGAACCCCTCAGTGTGCCCACACTGTTTGGGGAATAATATATATATATATTACAGAAGAGTTCGGCCAGAAAGAAGGTTCAGACCAACGGCCTACACGTTGAGGCACGTTGAGGTTCGTCATCGCCCACCCACCTGAGTCCCTTCGAGCCCCGGCAGGGCCAGCGCTGCGCCAGGGATTGGTCGGTGGATTTGTCGAAGGCCCAACACTGGGTGGACGAGTTCAATGTGAAATGTGGATGTGGAGCGCGATGGAGTACTCAATCATTTGAAGGACAACATCCGCTTTTTACAGTGCAGTTGTTGTGCTGTCTGGAGTCTTTCTTTTTTTGCAGATGATCCCTCCAGAGGGTGGCTGTTTCACGAGCGATTCGGCGCCTGGAGCCGATGAAGGATTCGGTCGACGGAGGTCAATACCCAGGCCCCACAAATGGTGTGCTTTCATAGACTGAGAGTCATATGAAATGACAGACGCCACTCGACGCTGTTCGTACCACCGCTGTTCGACCAGGGATGGTGGACCTCACGAGTCTGGGTGGACCTCATGGTAGAATGCCTTGCTCATCTTCTTGAGCCCCAAACGATCTGTATTGCGGGACAGATGAAACCAGTACTCAGTACTCTACCGTTCCAGTACTCAGTACTCAGCTCATAGGGACGGTTTGCAACTCGTCGTACTCTCAGGACATACAACATCCATACAGTGCTCAGAATGGTAAAGGGATACAGATGGATCTAGAGTTGATGGTGAGAAAACCTCCCTCAAGAGCGACGGTTGTGTACCCAATCTGGCACTTTCTCGACATTTTGCTCCAACAGGTGCTGCTGCGGGCAGCCAACCGAGCCAGCTGTATATCTTCTGCACAGGCACGGGCAGACAGGGGCTTCCGCTTTGGCTTTTATGGACCCAAACAGGGGAACATGCTCAGGCTTTTGTCTTTATGTTCCCTTGTACAACTGTGTTTCGGGAGCACCCTACCTTCAACTTTCAACCCCACTTGTGCCTTGACCTCTTGGTGTTGAAAGCAACTCATGCCAACCTCGCTTTGAACCAGAGCAGTGAATTGGCCTTCGCATGTCGCATGTGGAGTAAGATGAAGATGCGTTGCCAGGCCTTTGCACTTGGTGGACGGCCAAAGCAGGAACCCGTCGAACCACTTCGTCAGGAACCCGTTGAGGCGGATCGAGCAGGGATCGGCCTCCAAAGTACCGCTCAAACGAGATCATCAAGATTCCAAAGTACGGAGGATTGCAGGGGCCGCGATCCCGTTCAGTTTCCCCTTTTTTCTTCTCAGGATCTCCAACAATCACCAGTGTCCGAGTTGTTTTATTTTTTACTTGGTTGTTTTAGTTGGCAATACCTACCTACCCCTCTTGCAGGGCCAGGGGCGTTCGGGCAACACAAAGAAGTGTTCAGATCAGATCTCCTGAAGTTTATCAATGAGATCTTACAATGTACCAGGACCTTCAAAGTGACCTCTTTGGAGTCTCTAAGTGACCTCTTTAGGGACTAAGTGACCTCATTCTAGGCTCTGAAAAGGTAACTTTGCAGGTCCTGGTAGATCTCACCACCTGTTGTGTTCAATGAGATCATGAAGAAACCTACGTTCAGATCACATTTCAGAAGCGTTCAGATCAATGCGGTCTGTCTTCATTGGGTTTGCCCGTTCTTACCTGCAACAGTCAGTAAACAAGAACATCACTAGTTTTGAACAAGGCCTTTACTAACCATCATCATCCACTGGGCCCAGGTAATAGGATAGACCCAATGTATGCCGCCTTTCTTGTTTCACCTACCCTTTTTTAGGAGATGGATAGGTGGATGAGGCCTTAAACATCTGGCCGATGTTCATCATCCCTCATCACTTCGGCCCCACGGAAATTCGGATAGGACCCAAGTGATGAGGGAGACCCCGTGAAGGAATTCACTTCTGGGTCTGCATTCAGATCGGTCGCAGGTGCACGCCTCGCTTCGTTTCCGCCCTGAGGGATGACATAGAAGACCCATTCTAACAAGGGTCTTCTCTATTTTGGCAACATCCGCGTGATCAGAGAGGCTGTGTAGCTTTGGAGATGGATCCAAGCTCGCCGAATGCAAGGTGCTTCTGCAGCGCGGGGAAGCCTTGCTCCCCCAGCAGTCGCCAGAGACGGCGGAGGCGCGGGCCAGGTTTCTGCCTCATTATTGGATGAAGAGGTCTTGTCTTGAAAGGTGCTGGCGCTGGCTCAAAAAAAGCACCCACTGAGCTTGCTGCACATAATGGCCACTTGGATTGGAGGCATAGAATTTTTACAAAGCTGTGGCTGCAACTTGGAGACCACCAGGCACGATGAAGCCAGAATGACTCGAGATTAGAGATCCGAACTACAGTACTTTTTTTCTTTTGCATTTTGTATTCCGATGACTCCACTTTCTGCAGACATTGTGGTGGACTTGGGAGTCAATATAGTAGGCATATATAGCGTGCGTGGAGTGTCTGAGATTTTGTATTCCGATGATTGCCGCTTTGTGGAGCGATCGGTGCATGATCACAGAAAAACACCTGGTGATTTCGGCTGTTCAGGTGCGATCTCCAGAGTTGGCTCAGGAGATTCGGCAGAACCTGGGGCTTGAAGGCAGGATGTTTGGTGGGTGGGTCGTGGGTCGTGGGTCGTGTCGTGGGTCGTACCCAGATTTGGGTCGTGCGCGCAAGCCGAGCCCTGAAAGATCCAACCAAAACGGCCAACGAGTCCAGTTGTGCTTCTTCAACGGCGGGGAAGGCAGGCGCCTTGGCGGTTCTTCGGGTGTCCAAACCTCCTCAACTTGGTCCATAGAGTCCAGTGTTCCAAGGAGTTCGTTCCTCTATAGTGAGATGTGTGGGGCCAAGAGCAACCATCTGCCGTGAAATTGGAGCAAAAAACACCTCTGACCTTGGCCTTGGCTTCAGCTTAGGACGTCGAAGTCCGTCATTTCGAGGGAGAAGACTGCTGACAAAAGTAAAAACTATGGGAGTCAGAAGTGCTGGACAGAATCTGCATAGATGCTTCAGCTTCAGCTTCATTTGGCTACTTCACTCAAGCTTCACTTCTTCCGTCCTCAGCACACATCGGCCCCGCACCGGCCGAACAATGGCTTCCATGGCGCGGCAAAGAACCGGCCACCCCGGCCACCTCGCACTCGGCTTGCTCGGAGTGAGCGCGCTTGTCTGGTGGCTCCAAGGCTCCGTCAGCGCGGCTCCTTTCGTGGGCCCGCGCCACCCAGCGCCGGGCGTCGGCGTCGGGAAAAGGAGCTCCAAGGTGAGGAGGCCAGCGAGGGACGGGAGTGCGGAGCGGAGCTGACGATGCTGACGGGGAGCCGAAATTGAGGGAGAAAGAGGAAGGTCCGCCCATTCAGCTGAAATTGACATTCTTTCCCAAGTTCCAACTTCTTGCCTTCGGAAAACAACAGAAAAAAGTATATGAAAGACATGTTTCATCATGTTTCCTTCAACCACCTCACCCCCCCTGAGTGGCGTCTCAGCAGACTGACGCCGCGTATTCAGTAAGGCATGATCTGCCAAGTCGCGGGAACGGCGCTGCGCCGGCGGTTGCGGCTCCACAACCCCCTGCTGCGAAGTCGTCCAAGCCACGAGTACCACCGGTGCCGATGCCCTTTGGCGACGTGAACGTTGATATGACCATGATGCGCTTCAGCCACTTCGTGCCCAGGTGGGATCGATCGAAAAGGGGCAAAACCACCGTTGATGTTGAGCGTTTTTTGTTGACTGGCCTGCCGAAGTGCCGAAGAGCCGAAGAGCTTCCATGTCGAAATGCATCAGGTAAAAACCGCATTAGGTCTTGAGAAACCTCAGTTAGATCAAAACAGATCACAACAAATGCAAAGGTTGGGTAATTTCAGTTGAGAAGAACCTGCAAAAACGGTGATACCTGCTTGGAACTGGACCCTTCCGTGGCGTTTTTTACGAAGTCTTGTACCGTCCAAAAGCATATAAAAGCCGCCCGGTGGTATCGCTGAGTGTTTTTTTTTTGAAGTCCCTCGTGCCGTCGGAAAGGCTCTACAACTTTTGCCGTGACTTGGGAATGACCAAAGGCCGGATCATGCCTTCCATCGGCTTCTGTGCGGATGAGCACCTGGGCCGGTTTCCAATGACTCGGGGCAAACGGATGATGCGGTACGGTGCCGGGCGGGGGTGGTTTCCCGTCCGGTCTGTGTTGGAAACAGACCGAACCAAACACGTCGATGGGTTTTGCAGCGAAGGTCCAGGTGCAGTCATGAGAAATGGAACTTGGGTGAAGGAGACAGAGCGCCAGATCGGGCTGTGCTGTGCAGAGGAATAAACACTTCCCGAGTTGATTTTTTAAATCTGGGTGCCAGATTTATTTGCATGGCTCCAACCATTCCAAATGAAGTGGTAGTACAATGTTGTAAGTAGTGAGGGTTTTATTGATCCTTTTCTATCCTTTCCTGAGAAGCGAACTTCCTCAGAATCAATCCACTTCAATAATGAACCTGTTGATTGTTGGGGATCTGTTGTTCGCCTGGGGTGTTTGGTTTGGGGAAGGGGCTTGGCTCACCCCAAACACCTGTCATGACATTACAGACCAAAACCAAGGTCTCGTGACTCTCACAACAAGCAGCAAAACACGGGCAAAACAGGCAAAGGCAAACGGCAAAAGCTGCAAAACACATACCAGGACCTTCCAAGAGGTGTCTATAAATAGCCTCTTAGAGCTTAAGGAGTGTCCAAAAACCACCGGACTTGGAAGGTCCTGGTACAAGCCAACTTCCTGTCCAGGGCGCCCTGGATCCTTTTGGCAGCAGCCCTGGATTTTTACTTAGACTTCGGTCACGCAACGTCGCCCACTTTGCTGAGGAACCAGGGCTTTCCTGCCATCACCATCACCAAGCATTTCGGTGCCTACCCCTTCACACATGGCTATATCGGCGGCGTCATGGTGCCCTGGCGGACGAGCTCGGCAAGAGAACCGCGGCGGTATTTTCTTTATTTTTCTTCTCGGCGTCCGACATAGATAGGGCCGCAATGTATTGAACATCGCTTCATTTCCGACAGTGAGTTTCGCGGAATTCATCGCCGGTCCCGGCGACAGGCTCCTCCTGCTCCTTGAAAAAGGGCAACACTTATGCTGGAGCATGGCTCAGTGCCATGAAAGTGAAACAACACCTCGTTACTCATGGCAGTTCCCATGGGGCCACACCCAGTGCCCTGCCTGACCCCCCAGGTCCATCACTGGTTCAGTTAGTTCTGTTTTCGGTGTTGGCACCTCTACGACTCCGCAGGTCACGCGGGTCGCGGATCTTCAATCATGTGGACGAAGCGTGTGTAAGCAGGGAGCAGGGCGCGTTTCAGCAGGTCGCGGATCCTATAAAGGAGCACACCGACAGGTCGTCTTTGCTTTTTTTCATCCATCCGTCTTCCGCCCAGCACGTCCTATGAACCGAGCCGTGCGGATCCGCGGTGCGGTGCGGATCCGCTGGGCCGTGCGGATTCGCTGGGCCGGGCGTGGGTACTCGGGTGGTTTGGAGCGAGCCAAGTGCGTTGGCTCGCCTCCTCCCAGTTCTGGGTTCGAGTTGTACTGGTTTCTGATCGTTTTCTTTGCGTGGTGTCCAAAACCCTACACCTCCAGTCGTGCCTCAGGTTCAGTATGACTGGACCCTCCTGGCACCCCCAAACCCCTCACTCAGAAGGTACGACTGACTGGAGGCCTAGGGACGTTCGACGACTGGAGGCCCTTGATCGTCATGGCCCCCATGCTCACCACGGTGACGACTTCGTGATCATCCACGCCCCACACGTGGGCTACGATCCGGAGACCGAGACCTATGGCGTCTATCGCAGGTCGGTTGACCCAGCATGACGGGAGGGAGTGTGAGGAGTGGGGAGACTTCGTGGAAACGATGGGAAACATCGGATTTCACCACCCAGGACGGTGTTGGGAGAGATGGTTTAAGCACAGGCCGACACATGAGCCGACACATGAAAACGGCTTGATCGGACTCGCGGGTCGAAAAGCTGTTTCTTATCTTTTTTAATGGAACACTCTCTGAACATGAGGAGGGTGTGAAGAGTCAACGATGCTGATAGACCGTGTGATCAACAGATTCTGTATCATTCCGCTGTCCTATCAGTAAGGTCATTCTTCATGTCCAATCTCAGCAGATGGAACAACCCCCGATTTCAAAGACGGATGTATCTCCAGTGGAACTTTGATTTTCTTTGAGACAGGGCATTCGTTTTTCAGGCGGTTCACTGTTCTTGGTGTTTTCGTATGCCTGGATTCACTCCTTATGCTTAGGACCTTCCCAGCGACCCTTTGAGATCCCAGTGGCTGACACCACTTAGGCCTGTAAGTTCGGTCACTTACCAAGCCTGAAGCCTTCGGTCGAAACCCAACGCCTTCCAGCTCCAGGCGGCAGGTGGCCGACCCAGAGCATTCTATGTCGACCTGCTGTGGGAAGGTGGCTGGTACTTTGGCACCCTACATCGACAGCTATGAGAAAGCGCTGGGGCGCATCAGCGTACGCGAAGCCAAAGATGGAGTCTTGGGAAGGGCCCGGGCCGACCCTTTTTTTCCGAAACACTGAAACTTTTGAGGTTAGGGGGAACAACATCTTCTGAAAAGCCCATGATCATACACTCCGACTTGCTAATATGGAAGTGGACAACCCCCTGTTCGTAAAGGAATGTCGTTTTCGAAAAAGGAAATCCACTGCCATGTTAGTCATTGTTAGTCAGTCAGAGTGTACCATACTCATCCCAGTCCAAAATGGTTGATGGTTCTTCGATCCTTCATGCGACCCGTTGGAACTCCCATCTGTCCGGCCTATATGTGGGGGCGGGGGTGCGAGCCCATGTCACACCCACCTGGTGCCAAACACCTCGTTTCAAGTGGGTTCAATCCGAGAACCCGCATGGTCCATCTGGGAGTGATCACGTCCTTTCCTTGAACCAAACTCCGCGCCAGCCCCGTCCGGCGGCGTCCGGTGGCCCCGTGGCGTCAGGAGTGGTTTTGGTGAACATTGGCAACTCGCTGTTGAGCGAGGAGGACGACTTGGGCATTGCTTTGAACTTTGATCGGCTTTTAGAACCGGATGCTTTGGAGAATCCCCTGCTCTTGCAGAGCACCTCGGTGGTGTATATCGCCTCCGCAGAGTTCAGCGGCCTGTACCACGCGACGAAGACGACACCCAAAACCTCCAAAGGGGAGGGCCAGAAAGCACAAACCCTGTGGGAGTTGGATGAGCGATTGGCTTGGAGGCCCTTAACGGATCCCAGCTTAAAGCAGCTCTTAAGCCAAGAGTTCTTCTCCTTTAAGAAGAAGCCAGAGGATCTACCTGGAGAGGCTGGACGCTTCGAGAGGACGCTCTTGCCCCACTTGCCCTTTATCATCACATCTCCCTACGCTCCAGACTTCACAGCAGCTCTGGTGATCATGCAGTATGAGTTCGACCGTGGAGTGCAGTCTATTGTGACCTCTCCTGCATACAAGGACGACCTCTCAGACTCCTTTTTTTTCGGTTTCGAAAGAGGTCCGCTGCGTGTGGGTTCAACGGAAGTAGAGAAGTCCCTCCAAACCAATGGGGATTGTGGACATGCCAGCTAGCAGCTAGTAGTCCGTTTTGTTCATGGTCTCGGGAATATTGAACCCAGCCTTTATCGGACGCCTCCTATCTTAAGAAGTGTGGTTTCCCAGCTTGACTACCGAGCATATGTTTGAAACACGCATCAAATCCCCCAATTCCGACGCAAACATGTCGGTAGAACGTACCGAGGATTTTGGGGGGATCAGAAACCGATGATTTCCTGTGGTCTCCAGCCGTTTTGGACGATCTCTTTTCAGACCGACCTGAGCAAGCCAAGCTCCACTGCCTTTCAGAAGCCGCCTCTCAGGGAGATCGCTTCTCCCTCCCAAAAAGCACTGTGTGGAATCCGTGTGGAATCAGTTTTGGGGTCGCCGTCCTCTTTTCCGCGAAGCCCTACGTTAGCTCGTGCCCTTTCTTTTTCTTTTCCTTTAAGCCTGGGAAGAGCCGACATCTAAAGACATCCAAAGACACCCAGGCCAAACAAGCGCCTTCCAATCCGGGCGTCACCGTCCTGTCCTTTCACCGATGCTTCCCGGAGCCTTCGGATTGGGTAAAGAGAAGAGCAGAGGGTGGTTGTCACAGGATCGGAACTGCATGCTGATCTCCGGGCTGAATATTGATGTGGCACCAGCCGCCAATGACCTCGAGGCGCACCCGCCAGGGTTGGATTAAGCACAGCAAAGCTTTTTGGGGTGTCCGAAGTCCTGAATGAGCATTTCAAAGGACCCAAGCACGCAAGCTTCTGAGCAGGGTCCTCATTGGGTCTTCGCTTGACCCACGTGTCTGGCATCTTTCTTCCATCTTATGCCACAGACTGTGCAACGATGCCACGGATTCAAGTGGCTCCAAGAACGGATCATGTTCTTCTTGATGTTCTTGGAACAACAACCCAACAACCCAACAACCACGGTCCATGTTGTTCTTGATGTTGTTCTTCTTGATGTTCTTGTTGTTGTTGGGTTGTTGTCGAAGAAATCAATGATTGGAGATGTTTTCGTTTTCTTTCAGGCATTCCCGCAGACGATGTTCCTTCCTTGGGCTGCCTACGTGCAGTTGGCAGATGGTACCCAGCGTGTCATCGAGCAAGACGCTTTGGTGACCCTTTTGCACAAACAGCCTCTGGAGAATAAGGACAGACTTGCGGACACCTTGTAACAAGATAGCTGATACCAAACATAGGATGATACGAAGCTTTTTCGTCCTTTTCCGTCGTGTGGGGCTGGCTGCCAGGCGTATTTTTCATTGAACGAAATACTGAAATCCTCCACCACTCGCTGCGAACTGCTCCTTCCCCCCCTTGGTGAACCATTTGACCCTCAAAAAAGCACCTTTTCCCCTCCAGCTGTCGGACTGGACTTGCTTGGCCGCTCGGCTTCTTCGACCTGCCGCGTGAACATCGACCGTGGCGTCCAGAAAGCTGTGTGCACGGAAACGGTGCGATAAAGCGGCTTATAAAGTTAACAGTTAAGCCGCTCGAGTAACAACACGAGAAGCTCCTCATGATGGCCAGCCAAAGGTAATAGGCTAAAGGAGCTGCATGGACCTGCAACGATGGAGGAACGGCCCAGCTGTTCCATTTTACGACCCAGCCGGCAAGTTGCAAAGCAAGCAGCCCGGGCATACACGGCTCCACGGACGTTACGCATCTGTCGAGCTCGAGTTGAGTCGGAGGGTCGTTTTCGAAGAGGGCGGAGTTCCGCCGGTTCTCCGGTTGGCGCGGCGTTCGTTTGCCACGTCCTCTCGACCCTTGGTGATTGGTTTCGTGCCCTATACCCTCAGGTCTTTCCGGTTTTTCCGGTCGCTGGCCTTCTTCCCCGGCTGGTGACGTTTGGCTTCTTCGCCCTGGGTGACTCCTCGCACGAACGGAGACAGGTCTCCACGAAAGGCCACCGTTTCATACGACGCGCGTGAGGACGCCATTGAGCTGGAGCGAGGCTTTGCGGCTTTGGCGACCCACCAGATGAAGAGGACGTTTTTCTTTTTGATCTGGAAAAGCGACCATGGCGGGATCAGTGACCCTGGCCCTAAACCCGCTGAAAATCAACCAGAAGCCCAATGGCGCGGATGTGATGGAAAGTCCTTTCGGGAGTGATACAAACCTGGATGATACAATTCAACAACAGTTCCCCCGCTTGTCAAGGGAAGTCTACAACAGATGGTTCGCATAGCAGACACGTACTTTTTCTACAGAATTTTGTGATTCCGCTCCAGGATGGTCTTCCACAACTCGCGTGAAGGAAAGCTGGATGAAGTTCGCGTGGTGTGAAACTTCGTTAGGACTAGGATTGTTGGGGACGAGAGAAGAATTCGTAATTCGTCCAATTCGTTATGGCAGGCACCAGTATGAGCATAAAGTTGGAGAAGCACTGTTTGCAAAGACGAGCAAGAACCATCCCGCAGTTCGAGAAAAAGTAGAGCCCAACATGTTTTTGACTGGTGAATGGTCTAGAGTCTAAGTCAAATGAGTGCTTTTCCTTGCTTTGTGTCCAGCCTGGTGTCGTGTCATGTACAAAAGCAAGTTATAGTTATAGGCCTCTCGTCCTTCTTCGGCCAGAATGCCTAGCCGCGGCCAAATCAGTCGTTCTTGAGACCAAGTGCAGCAAAGTGCGTCCAGGGCGACGAGGGTTTGACCTTTCCAGAGGGCCACAAAAAGGCATGACTCAATGGAGTCGATGGGTTGAGAACTTGAACCCAAAAAACACCAGGAGTTCAGCAGTTCAGCGACAGAGCCCCGCAGCTTAACGGTGGGGTGCAAGCCCCTGCGTGGTGCCCAATGGAATCTCCCCTGTGCAAACTCCGTTTAAGTATAAAGTATAGTAACTATATATAGGTAACATTCTTACTCCACAAGTGGCGAGAGGCCATTTGAGTGTTTATTAGTTAGGGAGACTTTGGAAGAAAGGACACCCACACACCAAACATTATTAATCGTGGGCCAACAACTTGTTGTCCGGAGCACCCATGATGACTAGGTCCTCCACGGCAGGCGAAGAGGAGCAGTCTGAGCTTGCACGCCGTGGCATCCTCAGAGTGGTCCAACCTACTGGCGATGGCCTCCAACCTACTAGAGATGGCCTTGAACAACTGCTTTGCGTCAAGATAAACAAGCCCAGGTCCAGTCCTTTGAATGCCCACACGACCCTGAACCACTTGAAGGGTCAAAACCACGACCCTGTTTCCCTGTTGGTGAAGAGACGTTTTCTGCTTTTCGGACATGGCTCGACAGGGTCAACCCAGGGGGGCTTGTCTCCGGGCGGCGCTTCATGAGGCTTGTCCGATGAAGAGAACTTGCTCGAAGCTGTGATGAGCTTGGGCTTGCGAGGTGCCTTTTTCACCCGGTGCGTCGGGCTGGGCGATGCGATGTGAACGCGGGGTCGAACACCCGTCGGACGTACCCTCAATGGAAAGAACAAAGAGTTCAACCCAGATGAAGACGAAGCAACCAATTTCATCTCCACTTCCTTTTCCACCCAACCCATCGGTTCGATCCTCCTGCGCGCGTAGGCGAAGGGGTGGTCGCCCTGCAGGACTCCGTTGCAAGGCCTGTGTTTGGGGAGCCAATGGACCTTGGGAGACATTGAGGGAATCATGTTGTGACTCACCTTGTGACTCAGTGCACGGACACGGACACCTGAGTCGGGGCTTTCTTCGTGACAACCGCCCGCACCAGTGGCTCTCAGAGAGAGGGTAAAGGGTAAAGGAAGTAGCTATGTCTATAATCACTCTATTTTTGGACCATTTGATACATAGTTTAGTTCTGTCTTACTTGCCTTTTGCAAGCATTGTTGGATCTATTTTTCGCCCCCCTTGAAATTGTACATATTCAAGGGGTCGAAGAATGGAGTGATTGTGTACAATAAACTACAAGTTTATACAATGTGCATGATCGCGACAAAACTTAGAGATGAACGCAGAAGTATCTGCAATCACCCTATTGCAACTTATGTTTTACTTGCATCTTGGATGTGCATTTTTTCAGGGGTTCAAATTATATCCAACAATGTTTGCACATGAATGTAATTTGGACACCCAGAAAAGAGTACAATTTCAAAGGGTCAAAGACTAGAGTGAATATATTGTACATATTTATGTACGAGAGACCCCCACGTATAATATAACGTACTATTTCTTCTAATATATTATCATGCTATATATAAAAGGAAACTTTACGTTATATAAAACAAATTATATTAAATAACGAAAACCAATTATCGAAACCAATTATTTCATTTTTTATATTCTAGTTTTTAGTTTTTTAGTTTTGCAGCCTTGAAAAGAAAAAAACAAATATCTTTTTTAGTTTTGTGGCCTTTTTTAAACAAAAAAAACTAAGACAAATTAAATCCTTCAGGTTTCAAGTTTTCCAGGTATTTAGAAATTCTAAAAAAGAAAAAAAACTAAAAAGAAACTAAAACAACTACATATTTAGGTTTTTTAGTTTTGCGGCCTTTAAAAAAACCAAAAAACAAAAAACAACAAATTATTAGGTTTTTTTGAGTTTTGCGGCCTTAAAAAGAAACTAAAAGAACTAAGTCCTTCAGGTTTCAAGGTTTCCAGGTATTTAGAAACTCTAAAACAACAAAAAAACCTCAAAAAACTAAAAAACTAAATATTTAGTTTTTTAGTTTTGCGGCCTTTCAAAAAAACTAAAAAAACTAAAAACTAAAAAGCTAAAGAACCTAAATCCTTCAGGTTTCAAGGTTTCCAGGTATTTAGACATTCTAAAAAAACTAAAAAAAATAAAAACACTAAATATTTAGTTTTTTAGTTTTGCGGCCTTAAAAAAAACTAAAAAAACTAAAAAAACTACATATTTAGTTTTTTTAGTTTTGCGGCCTTTAAAAAGAACAAAAACACTAAAAGACTAAATAGTTATTTTTTTTGTTTTTTTAGGTATTTTTTTCAATTTCTAAATACCTGGAAACCTTGAAACCTGAAGGATTTAATTTTTTTGGTTTTGTATTTTTTTAAGGCCGCACAACTAAAAAACTAAATATTTAGTTTTTTTAGTTTTGTTTTAACGGCCGCAAAACTAAATGAACTATATATTTAGTTCCCCAAACAGGTTTACCTGTGAGGGGTTCTTACTCCTTTTGAAGGGGTGCATGCTCGGGCCGGATGATTTTGAGTTTTTCTCCGGGCTTGTGTTCCTGGCCGCATGATTTCACCCTTGTCTCCCACTTGTCTCCCAGTAAGCTCTGGATGCTCTCAGTGCTCTGGCCGCATGATTTTGTACTTGTCTCCCATTTGTCTCCCATTTGTCTCGGACTTGTCTCCCAGTTGTCTCCCAGTAAGCTCTCGATGCTCTCAGTGCTCTGGCCGCATGATTTTATACTTGTGTCCCATTTGTCTCCCACTTGTCTCCGAGTAAGCTCTGGATGCTCTGAGTGCTCTGGCCGCATGATTTCACACT